GGGGGGGGGGTCCCGAGGCCGGAGACGCTCCTTTGCCCTGGCCTGCCTCTGGGCTTCCTGGGGGATCCCAGCACCACCGCCAGGCCTGCTTCGCTTCTGAGACCTGCTGAGAGGAGGCCAGTCTGGCCCACCCAGGCCAAGGGAATCAAATCCCGGTCCTTGCGATGCCTCCCTCCCTGCTAGGAGCCCTTTTCTTAGAAAGTCTCTGCGAAAATAGTCCCTCTGGTGCTAAAGGAGAGAAGAGAGCGGATTCATACCCCCATGGCCCTTCACTACCCAGAGCAGTCTCAGAGCAGCTCACAAACTCCTTTCCCTCCCCCTCCCCACCACAGACACCCTGGGAGGCGGGTGGGGGGTGGACTGAGAGAGCTCTTTCGAGGACTGCCCTTTCCAGAACAGCTCTGACAGAACTGTGGCTTGCCCAAGGTCATCCAGCCAGGTGCTAGTAGAGGAGTGGGGAATCAAACCTGGTTCTCCCACATTAGAGTCCGTGTACTTAACCATGGCACCAAACTGGGTCCTAGAAGGAGGTGGAGGAGATTGGACTTATACCCCACCCTTCACTACCCAAGGGAGTCCAAGAGTGGCTCACAAACTCCTTTCCCTTCCCCTCCCCACAACAGACTCCCTGTGTGGTAGGCGGGGCTGAGAGAGCTCTTTCCAGAACTGCCCTTGACAGAACAGCTCTGAGAGAACTTGTGACTGACCCAAGGTCACCCAGCTGGCTGCACATGGAGGAGTGGGGGAATCAAACCAGGTTCTCCCAGATTAGAGTCTGCGGACTTCACCACAACACCAGCCAGCCCGGTTAGATCGCGGTACACTCACCCCTTTCCCATGCTTGTGTCCTGTCCCCATCCCCCGCCCCCCAGGAAGCCCACCGAGGTGGAGTGGCGGTACACAGAAGAGGGCGAGCGGGTCCGTGTCTCCCTGAGGACCGGCAGGATCATCCCCCAGCCCCCCGTGCCGAGGGAGGATGGCATCGTCCCAGAGCAGTGGACAGGTGAGAGGATGCTGGCGGGCCGGGTGCCTTCAAAGAGGCAGCGGAGACGCCTCCAGGCAGCTCAGACCCTAACCCTTCTTCCCTCCCTCCCTCCCTCTCTCCTGCTCCCCGCCAAGACGGCCCCAAGGACACCTCTGTGGAGGCCGCCCTGGAGAAGACCTACGCGCCCTCCTTGAAGACGTTCCAAGAGGAGATCATGGAGCTGCAGGGGATCGTGGAGCCACGCCGCTTCCGGAAATCCTACTGGTACTGATGCCTCCGCGGCCAGCTGGACAGTGGGGACCTTGGAAGGTTCTGGCCGTGGGAGGCAGCCTCCCGAAGGCGGATCGTCCAGCCGACAGGGACAGCCTGGCAAAGTGGAACTGTTTTCTTTTGGCAGCGCAGCGGGATCAGCTGTGCTCTGGGGTGAAAGGTTCTCTGGTCTTTTGAAATAAAAATAAGCAAGAGCAGAGGCCCCGTCTGTCTTGTAAAAGTATTTATTTATTCAAACACGCACCCCCCCCTTCCCTCTGAGCTCAGGCGGGCCTGTCCTGGCTGGCTTCCTCAGGCGCTCCCGCCGCAACCTGCTCGCTGGCCCCCTTCCGGGATGGCACTCCTGCCCTCTCTTCCAGCGGTCCCTTTCTCTGCCCCCCAACCAGCAAGGGCCGAGTTCAGCTCCGTCTTCGCTGCCACCAGCACAAGATTTCGGGGGGAGAAGGTGGGGTTGAACAGCGGGATCAGCTCGCACTGGAAGCCTGCCAGGAGACGGAGAAGAGAGTGAGGTTAAGCCCAGCCCATGCCCGCCCCCGCCCCCCCAACCACCAAGAGCCCAGCTGCATGCCCGGGGGCAGGGTCCAAGAAGCTCTGAGCGCTGGAGCACTGGCCAAGGAGGAAGGAGAGATCCCGGGCAGGGGGGAAGTGAGACACTTGCAGAGAGATAAAAAGGGGAAAGAATGAGGCAAGCTGCTTTAGGGGGAAAGGAAATGCAGTCAATAAATCCTCCCTCAATAGGGAGCTGGAGCAGATTGTGAGGCTTGTCTGCCACAACCGCCACCCTCGACAGATGGTCACGGTAGGAAAGCGGCCCCCGTGAGCTTCCCGGGTAGCGCTTGGGTTCAAACCCGGTTGTCGCTAGCAGACACCAACTGCTATACTACGCCTGGCACAGCCTTTGCAGGCACCTTGGAGAAGGACACAGTGAGCGCGTGCCTCCTTTTAGGTGCCGGGTGCCTTTCCTCAAGGGAGCAAAAATACAAACCACAAGGGTAGACCAGCAAAAGATACGCAGCTTTCACAAGTAAACAGTAGACATATCAGTCTATTGCAATATAATAACAATAAACTGAAGATACAACAAGAGACTCCTCTATATCCTTTGAATAGTCCACAAAAAAGGCAGAGGATGTCCCAAAGCACAAACAAACTTCTAACAACCAAAAACGTCCTTCCCAGATATGCCAGACATTTCAAAGCAATCTTCCTCAATTGTACGGCTGAAAATGGAACCCAATTTCCACAGTAATGTAGGCACAGCTCATATCTCAAATGAAATCTGTAGTTCTCTGTCTACTGTTTACTTGTGACAGTTGTGTATCTTTTGAAGAAGAGATTGGACTTATACCCCGCTGCCCTTCACTACCCAAAGGTGTCTCAGAGCGGCTGACAAACTCCCTTCCCCTCCCCGCAACAGACACCCTGTGAGGTAGGCGGGGCTGAGAGAACACTGACAGAGAAACTGCTCTTTTTCAAGGACAGCTCTTATCAGAGCTACAGCTTGCCCAAGGTCATCCAGCCAGGTGCAAGTGGAGGAGGAGTGGGGAATCAACCCCAGTTCTCCCAGATTAGAGTCTGCACTCCTAACCATGACACCAAACTGGCTCTTTGATGGTCTACCCTTGCGGTTTATATTTTTGCAGACCACATACACCTGGGGTCCCTATTGTTTGGCTTTCCTCAAGGCCCCATCCGCATCCCACAGGGCCCCTCCCAAACTAACAAACGCCTGGTGGTCCTGAGGAGCTCTGCGGAGTAGCTTTCTCCCTCCGAGGCCGCCTCAGCTCAGCATGTTTTGCAAGGATGAAATAACCCTACGGGGCAGGCTATAGGCTAGGCTGGCATGCCCGGCCTACGGCCCTCACTGGGGAGAAAGATGGGGGTGTAAATGAAGTGTGAAATGAACGTGGGCTGGCTGTTCTCCCTTTCGGGCGTCCCTCTGGGGACAGAGAACACGGCTGGCCCCCCTCTGACAGAGACCTGTTTGTGCACATCCCCCAACAGGTGAGACGGACCCTCCTGCCCAAAGGTCTCTCCCCCCCCCCACCCCTTACCTTGCTCCTGCAGGTAGATCATCCGGTCGAGCAGGATGAGGGTCTCCACCGCGGGGGCCAGGAGCAGGGCCAGAGAGAAGAAGGCCACCACCTTCTGTTGCTGGCCCAGCATGGACTCCAAGGCCGCCCGGTCCAGGGCCACGTCTGGATTCAGCCCCACTCGCTTGAGCCCCACTCGGATGTATCTGGGGAAGGGGAAGAGAGCAGCCCTTCTTGGGGGGGGGGGCAGCCGAAACAGGTGTCCCGGGGGGGGCTTCCTTCTGAGAGTGCTGGGTCAGGACGAGGCTGGGCTGGGATTCCGGCCTGCCCGACGACGCTGCAGCAGACAGAGTGCCCCAGGGTGCCGTGGCACCTGCTGGGTGCTTCCAGAAGGTGGGGCTCTTGCCCAGCAGGGCCTCTGTGTGGCCCCCTATTTACGTTATCTGTAGCCCGCCTTCCTCTCTGGAACTCAAGGCCGATTACACAGAGCGAGTCAATCCAATTAACAGGATGAGACAATCGGTAAACAGCGAAACGGGACCTGAAGGCTGAAGCGGAGCAGAGGTGTCATGCAAAATCACACAGTGGGATCCACCTCACTGTGATCTAATTGCCTGTGCAGACTAAAATATTTCAGCATGACAGTGCTGGCTGTATTCTCACTCTCGTTATTGTCTCCCAACATATTTTTTAAAATTATCCCAATTCTTCCCTGCGCTTGGACTTCCACAATGCGTGGGCGGAGCTCCGTTTCTTGTGTTCGACACCAACTCCTACAGCAGCCACTTTGTGGTTGTGCCCATCACCCTGCGTCAGAATTTGAAAGGTGCCCACAGGCTCAAAAAGGTTGGGGGACCCCTGTTGTACCATATATATGCTATACAGGAAGTTGGAATTACGCTCGGGGAAGGAAATGTGGACTACATACTTCCTGTATGTGGAAGAGATCTTGGGGTAAGAGTGGACTGTAAACTGAATATGAGCCGTCAGTGTAATGCTGTGGCAAAAAAGGCTAATTCAGTCTTGGGTTGCATTAAAAGGGCCGTAGCATCAAAACTGCAGGAGGTCATAGCCCCTCTGTATATACTGCCTTGGTCAGGCCGCACCTGGAGTCCTCCTGTGTGCAGTTCTGGAGGCCTCACTTCAAAATGGATGTGGACAAAATCGAGAGGGTGCAGAAGAGAGTGGAGAGGATGATCAGGGGTCTGGAGACTGAGCCCTCTGAGGAAAGGCTAAGGGGGCCCTGGGAATGTTTAGTTTGGAGAAGAGGAGATTGAGGGGGGGACGTGATGGCTCTCTTTGAATATTTGAAAGGCTGTCATTTGGAGGAGGGCAAGGAGCTGTTCCTGCTAGCAGCAAAGGACAGGGCCAGTGTTCCCTCTAAGCTGAGTTAGTGTGAGTTAGCTCAGTTTTTTAGCCTCCGGCTCACGTGTTTTTGTCTTTGTTCAGGAAGGATAGCTAACTAATTCAGTCAGCAGCCAAACTGCTCGCTCACAGCTTTAATGCCAGTAGCTCACAAAGTGGAATTTTTGCTCACAAGACTCCGCAGCTTAGAGGGAGCATTGGATAGGACCTAAAGCAGTGGGTTTAAATCGCATGCAGAAAGGTGTCGGCTGGATATTAGGAAAAACTTTTTCACGGCCAGAGTGGTTCAGAGGTGGAATCAGCTGCCCAGGGAGGTGGTGAGCTCCCCGCTTCACTGACAGCTTTCAAGAAGAGGCTGGACGAATATTTGTCAGGGATGCTTTAGGCCGGTTCTGCATTGGGCAGCAGGGGGCTGGACTAGATGGTTTGTATGGAGCGCGGTGGCTCAAGTGGTTAAGACGCTGAACTGCAGGCTGTGGAAGGTCAGTAGTTCAGCGGTTCAAGACCCGGGTGCCGCAAGACAGGGTGAGCTCCTGTCTCTAGTTCCAGCTCCTGCCAACCTAGCAGTTCGAAAAGCAAGAAATTGCAAGTAGATAAATAGGTACCACTTCGGTGGGAAGGTAACAGCGTTCCGTGCGCCTTGGTGTTTAGTCATGCCGGCCACATGACCACGGAAATGTCTTCGGACAGCGCTGGCTCTTCGGCTTTGAAACGGAGATGAGCACCGCAACCCTAGAGTCGGATTCGACTGGCTTTCGAGCAAGGGAACCTTTACCTTTACCTTTATGGCCCCCTATGATTCTATGATATACAGTAGGCATTACCTGTTTGCTGTATGCATCATCTTGCTCTCACTGCATTAAGTTGTACTGATATAACGCCATTTTTCTGCAATGTGTACCGTCATGCCTGGTACTCCATGCTTATTACAGGTCTCATCCTGTTGACTGTATTGACGGTTACTGAGTCTCAGTGAGAAATGTGGACTATAAATATAGCAAATCTAATAAAACACTTCAACAACAAGGTTGGAGATGCACACCACCCCCTGTAGCCTCCGTGGTTCAGGCCAAGCAGCGGAAGCGCAGGCTCGCCACAAGCGCGAGAGGGAAGCCCCGGGCGCGGGGACGAGCTCCCGGCAGGCACACGCCACACGCAGGCACACTCACTCTTCGGAGGTCAGCGTGTGGGACTTGTTGATGGTCTGCACCCCGAGCCGCATCTTGGTGGGGTCGGCAGCCCGTATCACCGTCTCCAGCATGGCGCGGAAGCAGTGTGTCCTCAAGGTGGCGCTCTCGCCCGCGAGCCTCCGCACGTACCCCTCGATGGCATGGCAAGCCCCTTCGCGGGCCTTGTAGGAGAGCTGGTGGCCTGGGAGGTCGGACACCCAGGCGCTGAGCGGGTAGCCGTGCTCCCCGGGCCCGGAGGAGAGGCCGGGGCCCGCACGGGTGGCGGCCTCTTGCACACTCAGCTTCATGTAGCAGCAGGCCACCGAGGTGATCCCCACCACGTGGGGGCAGCGGGCAAAGTGCCGCAGGAGGGCCACACTGAGGTCCCCGCAGGCATGGAGGCCTGTCAGCAGCACGGGCATCTCCGGGGGAGGGGGGTGGCCAGGGCAGAGCAGCCGGAGGCCCCCTCCCAAGGGTCCCTGTTGCCCGGAGGCCGAGGCTTCCCTGTCCAGCCTGCAGCCTTCCTGGCCGCTCATCCGGCTCCTGGCTCTCGGGCAACCCTTCCCCGCAGGTCCCCCGCGGAAACCGGGGCTCGTCTTTGCGGTTCCGTCAGCCTGGAGGCGGTTGTCAGCCACAGGGGAGTCTTTCTCGCCCTTCCTTTGCTGTAGCAAATGCAAGAACTCCTGCCATGGGGCCCTGGGGTCGACCCGGCCCACCACGTGGCTTGGCCCATGGAGAGAGAGGTCACCTGCAGCCTGTGAGGGAGGGAGAAGGCGAGTGTAAGCCTCCCGTGCTCTGCCGAGCACCACAGAACCACCAGCGTGGCAGTGAGATTAGTTTATTCAACTTGCATCCCGCCCTCCCCACTGAAGCAGGCTCAGGGAGGCTTATACAATGTTATAGCAGATAAAACAATTAATTAGATAAAATTACAATAAAATAGACCTAAAAACAATACATAAAGTGCTAGTGCAATGTAACGATTAGCACTGGGCCCAGCTTCTACAGCTGTGGTTGGCCCCAGCTTCTACAGCCCTTCGGAAACAAGGAAGCAGAGAAGGAGGCAGGCAGTAGAGAAGGTCCCGCACACAGGGCTTCATTTGTGGGGCTGACCCTCACGGGAAGCAGCGATGGCCCTAAAGGGGGATTAGACAAATTGGCAATGGAAGAGAAGTCTGTCCAAGGCACTGGCAATCAAATGGAACCTTCTGAAGGTGCCAACGGCAAAGGGGTAAGATCCGCAGGTGCCCGGCGGGACCAGAAAGGCTCCCACACTTCTAGCACTCCGCAGCATGTGCAAAACAGAACAGGAGAGCGTCTTTATAAAGGAACCAAAACTGCAGTAGTAGTAGTAGAAGAAGAAGAGATTGGATTCATACCCTGCCCTTCACTACCCAAAGGAGTCTCAGAGCAGCTTACAAACTCCTTTCCCTTCCCCTCCCCACGACAGACACCCTGTGAGGTAGGTGGGGGCTGAGAGAGCTCTGACAGAAACTGCTCTTTTTTCAAGAACAGCTCTGAGAGAACTATGGCTTGCCCAAGGTCACACCAGCAAGTGCAAGTGGAGGAATCAAACCCGGTTCTCCCAGATTTGAGTCCGCGCACTTAACCACTGCACCAAACTGGCTCTCGTATCATGGAAGAGTCCAGGAGGAAGACTCTATGAGGAAAGAGGACCGAAAGTCCATTGCAGTCTTTACTGTAGGTATGAGGCGAGTCCCTTTGCAATCCACTTTCCCTGCTCTTTATGGTATGTTGTGCCTTAGTTTCCTCATTTCTGTAACCCACATCCGATTACACCGTTTATCGGTTGTCCTGTGCTGTCTCTGACTGAGTTCTGTTCTATATTTTGTAGCCTGCCGTGAGTTTCAGCAAGAAAGGCAGGCTATGAACCAAGTGGCTCTAGAGCCAGAATCCAGCCCTGGGCCAAGTCCTGCCGCCACCCCCTAGCCCCGGGCTCCCTCCCCTCTTCAGCCCCCCTCCTCACCTGCGTCCCTTTGGCTCGCTCTTTCTTCAGGGCCTGGACCAGCTCCTGGTCAAACTTGACTGCCTGGCCCACCAGCTGTGGATCTTCCTCCACCGCAGTGACGGACAAATGGAGGCCGAACGCCAGGAACCGAGAGAGGTGGCCCTTTGGGGGAAGAGGCAGGGACAGGCACGTCAGCTCTTGCCTTTCCCGGGACCCCGACAAGGAACCCCACTCGCTCCGGTCATTATCCTCAGCACTGTCTCATGTGAGTTTATTACGAGTGTCAGTTTATTATTCTCTCTCGCTCTGGATTGCAAGACTCTAGATCTAACGGGTGGAAATTACAAGGGAGTCGATACCGGCTAAATGTCAGGAGAAACGTCCTGACTGTCAGAGTGGTTGAGCAGTGGAACAGACTGCCTCGGGAGGGGGTGGAGGCTCCTTGGCTGAACGTTTCCAAGCGGAGGAGGCTGGACGACCATCTTCCGGGTATGTTGTAGGGCTATTATCTTTTGGCTCTGCTCCTGCAGAGTGCAGGGGGGTTGGACTAGATGACCCGCAAGGTCCCTTCCAACTCTAGCATTCTGTGACTCTATGAGGATAAAATGGAGAAGTGGAGAAGGCTGGGAGCCACTTGGGGTCCCTGGTGGGGAGAAAAGGCAGGGTAGAGATGAATTAAATCAATGCCCTTTGCATAGGGCCAAACTCTGAACTTTTGGAGGTAAATTCCCCCACAGCCCAGTGATTCCAGAGCCAGCAGAGCTCCCCTCAGACCTACCTGGCCCGAGCCAACGTCCACCACGCAGCGGCACCCTGTGAGGTCACTGAGTTTCTTCACCAGCTGTAGAAAAGAGAGAAGCCACAGGTCAGAGAGCGCTTGCGAGCCCTGGGGGTGTCCCTCCAAGGCTAGGTGGCCACGTGGCCACTCAGACTGCTTTGAGGTGGCCTCTCTCTCTCTCTCCCCACGATAAAGGGGATGTGTTCCACCGAAACAACTTGGGAGAGCGTTCATGAAGCTGGGGGACAACAACGGTAAGCGGAGACAGCTGGTGGAAGGGAGGAGGTCAGGTAGGCCAGCGGTCGGCCTGCTGGGAGCAGATGGTTTCAGTGAGACCTGCCGACTCTTGAGGGGACTGGGCTTGCCGCAGGGTCAGAGCAGGGGGCCTTCTCCTTCAGCATCCTGTCTCACAAAGCAGCCAAGCAGCTGCCCTTGAAGGCAAACGTGGAGGGCACAGAAGCCGAGGCTGCCCCTGGATACTCTGGTATGCCCACAGAACAATAGAATTACAAAAGAGACTAGATTAGAGCCATAACATCATTTAATGTCTGGTAATAAAAAACAACCACTTATTCCTTCATAGAAAAAATACAAAGGTCAATAAGACTTCACATAGCAGTCGGCTCCAGACTCTCTCAGAGCCAGTTTGGTGTAGTGGTGAAGTGCGCGGACTCTAATCTGGGAGAACCGGGTTTGATTCCCCACTCCTCCACTTGCACCTGCTGATGTGACCTTGGGTCAGTCACAAGCTCTGGCACAGCTGTCCTTGAAAAAGAGCAGTTTGTGTCAGAGTTCTCTCAGCCCCACCCACCTCACAGGGTGTCTGTTGTGGGGAGGGGAAGGAGTTTGTGAGCCGCTCTGAGACTCCAAGTGAAGGGCAGGGTATAAATCCAATCTCTTCTTCTTCTTCTATATCCCTCTAACAGAAAGAGAGACACAGATTGATTGAATTTGGAGCAGACTGCTTTTGGGAATTTTGATAAGAAGACCAGACTGTTAGAGGGATATAGATTGAGAGAGTCTGGAGCAGACTGCTATGTGAAGTTTTATCGACCTTTGTACTTTTTCTATATTTTTTCATACCAGACTCTCTTGGGACTGTGTTATTCTTGTAGATTGTTCCCCTGGATACTGCCTGCTAGCACGGGCATTTGGAGGTTGACTGCCTATGAACATGCAGGTTCCCTCTGCTGACCACAGCTAGTAGCCCTGAGAGTCCACGAGTCTTCCTAACCCCCATACCCAGTTCAGGAAAGATCCCCCCTCCAATCCACCAGCGACCTGGAAAGCAGGGGGGCTTCTTTTGCTTTTCCTTGCATTTAGCAGCTCAGCTAACGTGCTTGAGTTCCCCACCACCTGGATTAAACGGGAGGTGTACCTGTGCCAGCTGTCGGATTTCGTGCTGCTTTTTCGGCTTCACGTGCTTCCGGAAAAGGGGGTGCAGTTTTGAGCTGTGCCACTGGTTTTCCCTGAATTCTTCGGGCCTCCCATCAACCAGTGTGCCCACCTCGCCCCTGGGTTCTCGGGGAAACGCCAAGGCGTGGGCAGTGGCTTTGAAGGCCAGGAGGGAGAGCGGCCACACGGAGTGATAACTAAACAAAAAGACCAAGGAGGTTGATCCCCCAGAGAAAATCAGCCAGCTCAGTGGGGAGCCTTCAGTGAGGCTGCTGCTAGGCTGGCTGCCCACCCACCCCCCGTCTTAAAAATGCCGCTTCCTTGTTGCCCCATCATAAAAGTGGACCCCAGCATCCCCACCACCATCACCACTCTTGGAGCAGTGCGAAAAGAGACACTCAAGGAGCTGGGCAGCCTGCCTCTTTCCTGAGCAAGCACCCCCCGCACACACACAGGACTGGCACCGCACTTGGCCAGGTGTGGCTGCTGAGTCTCCCTCACCTGACTTCCCGGGCGGCAGTGTGGCTGTCTAGCAGGAGCGCCGCCAGCTGTGGGGAGGAGAGATCCGCCAGGGCCCCCTGCCAGGAAAGGGGCAGCCGGCCCCACAGGTCGTCGGTGAAGAACTCCTGCAAGCGGGAGGGGTGGGGGCAATGTCAGACTCTTGAACAAACTTACTCCCATCAACACTCTCTTGGCAGTGGCTTGTTTCTTGAGAGACAAAGATGTTTCAAGCTAAGACGATCTGTGAGAACCGACTCCCAGGGTGCCAGTTTGGGTATTCTACATAGTTCAAACAGCCCCCCTCAACCAGTCCAATCACACCCACACATCCAACCTGCCAGAATCTTGTGTACCGCTAACCCTCCCCCAGCACCTGCAAGCTTAGTATCTAACAGTGTCTGGCAGTAAAGAAGAGAAGAGATTGGATTTATACCCTGCCCTTCAGTACCCAGAGGAGTCTCAGAGTGGCTTACAAACTCCTTTCCCTTCCCCTCCCCACAACAGACACCCTGTGAGGTGGGTGGGGCTGAGAGAACTCTGACAGAAACTGCTCTTTTTCAAGAACAGCCCTGACAGAACTGTGGCTTGCCCAAGGTCACACCAGCAGCTGCAAGTGGAAGAGTGGAGAATCAAACCGGGTTCTCCCAGATTAGAGTCTGCTCACGTAACCACTGCACCACACTGGCCCCGATCATACGAGCCAGATAACGCGGGGGGGGGGGGGGGGGGTGGCTGTTTGCCCTGGAGCAAAATAAAGAGAAGTAGCCGGATCACACAGTCCCCCGAGTCTCCATTGTTAGGCTGTTAGCTGGCGATCACACGGCGATGCTGCAGTGTGGCAAAGAAGCTGCGCAATCGCACAAGCGTTTTGCATTTATGCGCATGCGCAGTTCCGCGGAGCAGCACTGCTTTCACTTTCGTGTTTGTGCGCATGCGCTTACGAAAAACATCCGGTTTGCGACGGGACATGGACGGGCATCGGATGCCACAGGATACGAGCGCTCCTGCGATCAGACGCCCGCCTGTGCCGTGCGTTTTTCCGGATACCTTGGTACTTTTTAACTCCGCATCTTCGGGCGGGACACCACAGGTTGGCTACACTTCCCAGATGTTGCGGTGTGATCGCGCCCCGAAAATCCGCCCGCGGGGCCAGTTCTCCGTGCGAGGGGGGGTGGCCATTGCAGTGTCCCCTCTAAGCCGAGTGAGTGCGAGCCAGCTGACAGTTCTTTAGCCTCCGGCTCACACATTTCGGTCTGTAGCTGGCGATCACACGGCGATGCTGCAGTGTGGCAAAGAAGCTGCGCAATCGCACAAGCGTTTTGCATTTATGCGCATGCGCAGTTCCGCGGAGCAGCACTGCTTTCACTTTCGTGTTTGTGCGCATGCGCTTACGAAAAACATCCGGTTTGCGACGGGACATGGACGGGCATCGGATGCCACAGGATACGAGCGCTCCTGCGATCAGACGCCCGCCTGTGCCGTGCGTTTTTCCGGATACCTTGGTACTTTTTAACTCCGCATCTTCGGGCGGGACACCACAGGTTGGCTACACTTCCCAGATGTTGCGGTGTGATCGCGCCCCGAAAATCCGCCCGCGGGGCCAGTTCTCCGTGCGAGGGGGGGTGGCCATTGCAGTGTCCCCTCTAAGCCGAGTGAGTGCGAGCCAGCTGACAGTTCTTTAGCCTCCGGCTCACACATTTCGGTCTGGGCTCAGGGAGGAGGGGGCTCCCCAGAGCAGACTGAGTCGCTCGCTCACCGACTGCGTGCCCGCCGCTCGCCAACTGCAGAGCCTTCGCTCCCGGGACTGCACCGCTGCGGGAGGGAGGGAGGGAGCATCGCCGGGTGTCCGGGGGGGCCCCCTTCCCTCCCCCTCCCCGCCCGCGCGCGAGAGAGACTTACGATGACGGGGGCGTCGAGGAGGAAGCGGTAGCGGCGGAGGAGGCGGCTGATGCCGGCCGCCAGGCCCTTCTGGTCCTCCAGGGAGAAGCCCCGCATCACAGCCCGCGGTCATGGCGCGCCCGGCGGGGCGGGGGGAGAGAGCGAGAGCGAGACCGACCCCCGGCCCCGCCCCCGCGGCAGGTGAGAGGCGCACCTGTCGGACCGCGGCAGCGCCTGGGCGGGGGGCAGCCAATCAGGCGCCCCTATGCAAAGCAGGCAAGGCCCCGCCCCTGGCCACGGGCCTCCTCCGCTCTCCTCTCCGGCGTCTTCTTGGGCGCCCCCGCGGATTGGCCCTGCCCGGCTCCCGTCCCGCTTTCCCTGCCTGTCCGGAGGAGGGTTATAAAACGCGGAAGGGGGAACCGGAAGTCCTCAGGTAAGCGCGGGGGGGAGGGGAGGAGGAGGAGGAGGAAGTAGAATGAACCCCGCCGCGTGGTCCCCCCCTGCGGCGGCGCTTCCGCTTCCGGGTCTGAGGCGCTTCGCCCCCCCCCGTTGTCCTCCCCCCCCCCGCAGCCGAGGGGAAGGAGGCGGCGCCGCCGCGTAGGTCACAAAGGCGCCCCTCCGCACCCCCCCCGGGCGATGCCCGCGACGCAGGGCCGGAGGACGCACCCGCCACCCCGCCGCCCGGGGCCTTCCTCGCCTTCCCTGCCTTCTCGGTACCTTCAACAGCGTCCCCGCGAGGTAGGCCCCGGGCGCAGCGCACCTGCGAGGACTCCGCCGGCGGCCTCTGCCCTGAAGCGCCCCGTTCCCCTTCACTCCCGCCTGCCTACCTTGCAGGGCTGTTGGGAGCACGTGTGTGGAGGCGCCGCGCTGGGGGGAAGGGGCTGCCTGTCCTGGGGGAGGGAGCGGTGCCTGTCCTGCCGGGGAGGCGCCCTTAGACCAGGGGCTTCCTGGAAAGTAACCCGCCGCCACCACCCCTCAGGGTCAGGGGACCCTCGAGAACATCCAGACGGACCTGCTGCAAAGGTGGTCTTCCAGCACGGTTACTAGGCCAGTAACAAAATAACATGCAGCCATCTCGGTGGTATCTGTGGAAGAGGTTGACAGAAATACCCCAGGGAAATCGATTATGCTAAGCAAAGTCAAAGGGATGTATTTATATACGTTTTATTTATTTAATTATTTGTTTCTTCAACTTTGTATCTCTCCCTCTCCGCCTGAGCAGGCTCAGGGCGGCTTACCCGATAAAACATAATAACATTCAAATATGAAACTTTTAAAACAACTCATTGCAACCACAATATAACGTGCTAGCAGTAATGTTTTCATCATAGAGGTGGTGCTATACATTGTATAGATTGTTGATCTGCCCGTCTCTAACAGCGGGCACAGTCTGTCAGCCATAGGCCAGGCACCTGCCTCTATGGTTAGTGTTGGTGATGGTGGCGGGGGCGGCTCCTAATCGAAGACCTGGCGGAAGAGCTCCGTCTTGCAGGCCCTGTGGAGCTGTAGAAGGTCCCGCAGGGGCCTGATCTTTTCCAGGAGCTCGTTCCGCCAGTGTGGAGCCGCCACTGAGGTTTATTGTGAAAGAGAGAAAAAGGAGGAAGAATGGCTAGCATTCCTTCTGGTAACAAGAAGCGGAAGGAGTCCTTAATCCCTACCCAACTTCCTGTGAGCCCAGATTCCACCAAAGATGAGGGAAAATCATAAATGTCTGGATACTTATGCTAAATTGAGCATTCAGAGTTCAAGAGAACATGAAAGATTCCATGTTGGTTTGCAGTGTATTCTTTGGTCCTAAAATGATACAACTGTTTAAGCTGCTTTGGGATTTGTGAGCCAGCATGGCGACTTGAAATTTTCACCCATAACTGCGGGAGCAAACTTCTGGCAAACACGCTTGCTTTACAGGCAAGCTTTGTGAACTATAGTGGTTATTTGGGGGAATACTCAAATACTAAGAAAAATTCATTGTTTTCTATCTCCTCCCCCCCCCCCCCAAGTGAGGCATCTCGTGCCATGTGGTCGTTGTAGAGAAGTGCCTGCTCATGGTAACCAGCCATGTCGGATATCATTATCAATCTGGATACAGCCCTTCACGAGTGCCCCCAAAGGGGTTCTGAAGGCAACAAGAAGCACCAGCGCTTCGTCAGACGCCGCCGTTTCTTGGAGAGGAGGGGCTTTCTGAAACAGAAACAGCTGCCGCCAGAGTCTGCCCTGCTCAAACGGGACGCTTCTCGTCGGGGCACAGGAGTGGACAGGGAGAGGGGCAAGAAGAGAAAGAAGGCGGATGGTCAGGGTGGCCTGGATGGAGCAGGCAGGGATGCTGGCTTTGGATGCGGGCCCAAAAAGCTTCCCAAGGAAAACGCTGCTCGCAGCGGCAGCAAGTCTTCAGGCTCTCGCCCCTCCCCCCAGTCCGAGGCCCCGGCGGTGCCCAGCAGAACGGGAAGCAGCTCCGCAAAGCCCAACGGGACGAAGAACAACGGCAGCGCGGGCGGGCTCAGCAAAGCCCACCTGTGGAGCGAGTACGACAGCGGCCTCACCGCAGCACTGGGCAGTCCCAGCAAAATGGTGGCCATTGACTGTGAGATGGTGGGCACTGGGCCCGGCGGGCGGAACAGCGGCCTGGCCAGGTGCAGCATCGTGGGCTACTACGGCGATGTGATGTATGACAAATACATCCGGCCGGCCGAGCCCATTACCAATTACCGGACTAGGTGGAGCGGCATCCGGAGGCATCACATGACGAATGCTGCTCCTTTCAAGGCAGCCCAGAAAGAGGTGAGGGGGCCGGGGAGCTCGTTGAGCGGCTTCCCCGCTGGGGCTGTCCAAGTCTTGAATGGGACGAGGGTCTGGTAGGGTAGAAGGCAGCTTCGTGTACCTGTTGGGGGATGTGATGCAAAACAATCCCCCTGATCTTACTCAGCCTCACTCAGGACTTGGCAGCACAGGAGCCAGTTTGGTGTAGTGGTGAAGTGTGCAGACTCTAATCTGGGAGAACCGGGTTTGATTCCCCCACTCCTCCACTTGCACCTGGCTGGATTGCCTTGGGCATGCCATAATTCTGGCATAGCTGTTCTTGAAAAAGAGCTGTTTCTGTCAGAGTTCTCTCAGCCCCACCTACCTCACAGGGTGTCTGTTGTGGGGAGGGGAAGGGAAAGGAGACTGTAAGCCACTCTGTGACTCCAAGTACTGGGTGGGGGTATAAATCCAATCTCCTCTTCTTCACATTACATCCTGACAGCCTTTCTGCCTGCCTGCCAGCAGGGAATCTTCCCAAATCAAATATCTTTAATGGCATATCAGTAAAATACATGGCATGATAAAATAAGAGCAAGGAGGCATTACAGAGGCAGCAAAATAAGGCAGATCCTACAGAAAGCTTGTATCTCTGTTTAACCGCTTCGGCCAAGAACCTAGCGACCAGAGCTGTGATGTCTGGGCTTGTGTCATTTAATAGACCTTGGATCATTGCTAACACAATGTTTAGGGTATAATGGTGAGGAAAGGAGTTTCTTACGTGAACCTGCGTGCAATTGACAATCCAAGATAATGTGATGGATTGAATCTATCAATTTTAGAGGACAGATACATTGCCTTTCATGGAAAGAGACTTTGTTATACCGACCAGTTAATATTTTTGAGGGGAAAATATTTAGTCAGGCCGATGTAAAAGCTCTACAATGAGAAGGGTGATCTAGGTTGTAAAAGGATCCAGTTTGGTGTAGTGGTTAAGTGCGCAGACTCTAATCTGGGAGAACCGGGTTTGATTCCCCACTCCTCCTCTACTTGCACCTGGCTGGATGACCTTGGACAAGCCGTAGTTCTGATAAGAGCTGTTCTTGAAAAAGAGCCGTTTCTGTCAAGAGCTCTTTCAGCCCCACCCGCCTCACAGGGTGTCTGTTGTGGGGAGGGGAAGGGAAAGGAGTTTGTGAGGTGCTCTGAGACTCCTTCGGGTAGCGAAGGGGTATAAATCAAATATCTTCTTCTACTTCTTCTTCTAGAAGTAACTGGCCATTTTCCCTTCCTGGATGGGGAAGGTTTAGTTTGTCCTGAGGAGAAAAATAAGGCTGCAAAGGATTTAACATGAAATTCTAGGTCAAGAAGCCTTTGTGGGAATGTTTCCGTTCCAGTACCAGAGATGCTGGATATCTTGAGGCCTGCTGGTGTGCCAGGAGAGGCTACCCCCATCTCGGGAAGAGAGCTGCCTTTGCCAGTCGGCTCCTAGGGCAGACGTTCAGCTCAGTTGTCAATCAGGGCTCGAGGGGGCGGGGAGTGCTCTGGTACTGTCCCTCTGTGCCTGGTAGCCCCAGGAGCATCTCCGTTGCCTTTCTGGGGATGACGTTGCTGCCTGTCTCTCAGCAGAAAGGCATTGTGCAAGGCCTTCCCCGTCTAGATTTAGGGTAACGGCTTGATTTTTAAAGGCATGGTTGTTGCTCCAGTCTTGCCAGGCCTTGCTGGGGCTCAAGTTCCTAGACCAGAGGCAGTTGGCACTTGGTCCAGTCCATCTGCCAAGGAATGGAAGGGGCCTGGGGCAGCCACGGAGTCCGCCCCAGGAAGAGGTCATGTAACCAGGCAGCAGTTGGTGATGGTGGTGGTGGTGCGCAGGCCGGGGTCAGAGTCTAGGCCGCGGAGCAATGTCTGAGGTTTTATTTATTTCATTTGATGTATTCCCCGCCAAAGCAGGCTTTGTATGGCTGGGGGGGGGGGGCGAGGTCTGTCGCCTCTTCCCTTTGTCCCTGGCCATGGAGTGAGGAGGGTTCCTCTGCGTCTCTTTCAGATCATGAAGATCCTGTCTGGGAAGATCGTCATCGGTCATGCCATCCACAATGACTTCAAGGCCCTCAAATACTTCCACCCCAAATCAGCAACCAGGGATACTTCGAAGATCCCCCTCCTCAACCGCAAGGCCGGCTTCCCAGAGAACGAGTCGGCCTCGCTGAAGCGCCTCACCAAGCAGCTCCTCCACAGAGACATCCAGGTAAGCCGGGCGGTCAGAGAGGGCGCCCAGGTAAGAGCCTGGCTGCTGCCGGTGAGCTCCTAGTCCCTTTGGAGGGACCGGGCTGGTGGGCTTTCAGGGGGGTCTTCTTGTGTTTATCCCAAACTGCCGTTTTGTGTTAAAGGGGTGTGGGGTATGGTGAGATATTTTTATTGATTTTATAATCGTCTTTATTCATTTATGCGACTGACTTTGTGAACCATTTTGTAGGGTGCAGTGCTGTTACCGGAATCGAAAAGCCCTCTAGCATAGCTCAGTTTTGCATAGTTTGCAGAGAGCCAGGGGAGGGGGAGCCGTCTGGTCCTCCTCAGAGAGGCCATTCCGTAAGGTGGGGGGCCACAACGGAGAAGGCACCGCATGTGGGCAGGTGTCGATTTTGCCCATTTGCAGGGTGGCCCCGCAGAAGGCCCTGCTCTCATGAGCAAAGCTGTCATAAAGGGGAACTTCACCAGCTGATAAAGGAGGAAGGGAGACAGGGAGGAGAAAGAGAGAAAGACAAGAGGGGGCGCCTAGCACCACAAAGAGTGCTGCTCTGGGTTGGTGTGCTCTTGGTTGGTGGCGGGGGGGTTGTTGTCTCTCTGAGGTCATTTTCCCCATCTCCCTTCCTCTCCCATCAGTGGGCATATCAATGACTTCCTTTGCAAGGAGGCAGTGAGAATAAACCACAACCAGTGTTCCCTCTAAGCTGAGTTAGTGTGAGCTAACTCACAGTTTTTTAGCCTCTGGCTCACACATTTTTGTCTTAGCTCTGGAAGGAGGGCTCCAGAGCAAACTAATTTAAGCCGTAGCTGAATCGCTCGCTCACAGCTTTAATGCCAGTAGCTCACAAAGTTTGCTCGCAAGACTCTCCACAGCTTAGCGGGAGCATTGATCACGATCCAGTCATAACTCGGTGATAACACGGGCAGCTTCCTTTTGCCTTCAGGACCACCCCGCTGGCGTCACATTCTGGGGATCGTGTCTCTTGTTTCCTTGCTCAGAGCCACGTCTTCTAAATCCATTTTATGGAAAGCCGAATTGGTCGCCTTGCTGAGGGCATTTGTATCCCCAGCAGGAGAGAGTCTAGTGGATAGAATCACAGAGTTGGAAGGTACCTCCAGGGTCATCGAGTCCAACCCCCCCTGCACAATGCAGGGAATTCACAACTGCCTCCCCCCTCCACACACACACACACACCCAGTGACCCCTGATCCTCGCCCAGAAGAGGACAAGAAAAACCCATCCAGGATGTCCGGCCAAACTGGCCTGGATTAAAGCTTGCTTCCTGACCCTGGATTCAAATCCCTCCTCTGCCGGTGACGCTCACTTGGGTCACCCTCCCTCAGCCTAAACAGCCTCCCAGCGCCCTTGTGAGAATGAACCGGGGTGGAATGCCACTCTGAGCTCCTCGGAGGGATGGGGGGAAAAAAACACGGGGGGGGGGGTCTGGAGTGGGGAGGGGTTCCTGGGGAGCGGGCCCCGGTGAGTCCTCTACCTTCAGGCCGCCTTTCCCATTTCACCTGCAGGTCGGCCAGAACGGCCACTCTTCGGTGGAGGACGCCCGGGCCACGATGGAGCTGTACAAAGTGGTTGAAGCCGACTGGGAGCAGCACTTGGCCTCGTGTCCAGGGCAGGACTGATTCTTCCGGCTGCTGGCGCACGCCTTGGCCGCCCTCGACTTCCAGAGCTGGAGCTGCCGCCTCCCCCCCAGGAGAGTGGCTCCGCTGGGCCCGTGGGGGAGGGGGAGGTGGGAAGAGGTGACATGGGGCGGGTAGGGGGAGTTGCGTGAAGACGGGCTTCTGGGGAGGGGGGCGGTGTCCATTACATCATTTTCCAGTTCAGGCCTTACAAGTCTCGTTCCTCGGAGGCCGGGTGGGTGCCTCTTTTCTGCGTGACTGACTCAGCATTCCCGCAGCTGGCTGCTCCTCCTTCCCGGCGGGGGCCCCAGAGATTTCTCTACCTCTACGACAGCGTCAGACAGTGGCACGCCGGGATTGGCATCTTTCCTTGGCGGGAGTGAGGCGCCGTGCGTGCGGCCCAGGCCAGGCGTTCCGGCCCAGCCCAAGCCCAGCGTGCCAGCGGGAGGCCGGGCCAGGGTCTCCGTTCCGGGTTCTTCCTCCTGCCCTTGCCTTTGCCCCCGATGCCATCCCCACCCCCTCCTCCGTGTCCCTGCTGAGGAGGGAGTCCAGCGGGGAGGCCTGCTTGACTTGCTCGTGGGTCACAGGAGCGACAGGGTGTGTGTGTGTGTGTGTGTGTGTGACAAAATAGGGGTAAAGATACCAGGCTTTAAAGTGACAAGTGCAGCTTGCATCAAGAGCGCCTGTTGCTGAGCTGAGTGGGTCTCCGCCACGGGCCCAGGAGGGTGGGCGCTAGGTGGTGCCGGGGGGGGGGTGCCTCTTCCGTGGCGCAGGTCTTCTTGCAGGGAGGGACCCGATGAGCCTTCCCTGCTGCCTCTGGGCCACGGTCAAGGGAGCTGCTCTGGCCCACCTGACTCTCCCCGTGGTGTCGGGTGTGTGTGGGGGGGAGGGGTCCGTGGGGCGGTCTTGCGGTGATGGGGGCCGCGGACCCATGAAGCTGCCTTAGGCTGAACCGAACCCCCGAGGGCTCATTCTGTCTGCCCAGACTGGCCGTGCCTCTCCAGGATCTCGGCCCGGGCGGAGGTCCTCCCCCTCCCCTCCCCCTCCCGCCTGGTCCCTTCCACTGTGGAGATGCCGCCGGGGACGGAACCTGGGACCTTCTGCATGCCAAGCAGAGGCTCTTCCCCCCCCCCTGAGCCGTGGCCCCTCCCTGGCACCGGGAAAGCCCAGCCGTGGCCCCACTTTGTTTTGCATATCAGGAGTGCCAGGAGAGCAGCCATCTTGGCGGGGGGCGGGGGCCAAGCCTGCCTCGGCGGGTGTTGTCCAGGTGGCTGCTCCCAGGATTGGCTCCCCGGCAGCTGGCGTCTCATGCCCTGCCGGCAGCGCTCTTGCTCTGGGAGGAGCTCCCTGTGATGCATGGGGCGGGGGGGGGAGAGGCCAGCCTGCACTCCGAGCCCCGGGTGACCCGGTGCGCAGATGCCTGGCCCCTCCCCCGTCTCCATGCCAAGGCAATCCGGAACCGGAGCCAGTGAGTCAGCCTCTCCCTGGAAACAGCTGCTCTGGATCTTCTCTCTTCTCCACCCCCCCCCCCCCCGGAACAGCAAACAAATACACACACACACACACACACTTGATGGAATTTTTATGCCGGAAATAATGATAAATGCCGGAATCTGGGCTAGGGCAGCCTGCTGTAGCCAGTTTGCAAGCACCAAGCAATAGAACGGGAAGGGAGTTTCTGGTGTGTGGGCCGAAGGAGCGTGTGCAGACCTCACGAGTCTGGTGTGGAAATGGTGGAGGCTCGTTGCGAGGGAGCAGCAGCAACAGATGCGCCCGGGACAGTGTTGGCAGAATGTTTCGTGGGAAGTTCTTTCCCCGCTCGACTGGGCCTCGGTCCAGACCCTTCGCTGGGCCCGCCTACACACATTCCCATTCAAGACCTTGTGGGGCTGACACCGTCTTTCCTTCTTGTGTCAAGAACGGTCCCAGGGCCGGGCGAGCTGTGTTGTGCAAGGCAAGCTGGACGTGGGCCTGGAAGCGTGTTCCTGAGCAGCACGCAGAGAAGTGGGTTCCCAGCAGAATCCTTGCAGATATGCTGAAGATTTTCTTAAGAGAGAGGAAGGAAACGCTCCCGACCTGCCTGTTTGACCAAAGAGAGCTTTTTGACTGTCAAAAACTCTTCTTGTTCTCTAAGGTGCTGCTGGACTTGAACCCAGGTCTTGGCCACCAATGCAGGAAATAAGAGGCCTTGCACAGCTCCCAGAGGTTTGGTGGCTTTTCCCATTCAATTTCTGAGCATTCACTGTCGTGTCCATGTTGGCGGTTGCAAGGGGGCTTGTCAACGGTGCCCCGCGTGTGTTTGTTTTTTAAAAGAAATGAGCATTCCACCCACTTGTTGCTTTGGATCCTTTCCTCGGGGCGAGTCGGTGTGGCGGGAGGGAGGCCGGGGGCGCCAGGTGAGCCCAAATGTTTTGGTTCTTAGTCCCGCAGCTAGACTGTTTTCGGTGAGGGGGGCACTGGAGGGGGGGGTCAGCCTCCAACTCAGGCCCCCTTGCAAGAAGCAGCCCCAGAGAGGAAAGGGTGAGGTTTGGACCGACAGGCCAGTGCGTGCACGGTTGTCCACAGCCACTGGGGGGCACTGCAAGCCCGGTTGGCAGCTTTTTGGTGGGTCCTCTGATTCCCAGCAGGTGGGGTGGGGGTCTTGGAGAGGGACACACTGCCAGCAGACCCCACCGGGAAGGTGGTGGGTGGGGGGCTCCTCGTTTTTACGTACCCCCAGAGCCGTTTGTTTCCCCTGCTGAGGTAGGGAAGGTGAGGACTGTGTTGTGTCTGGGGCTGCTTGGCAAAAGCTTGGGGAGCAGCTGTGTTTTGGGGGGAGAGGGGGGTTGGGAGCGTTTTGCACAACGGTGCCTTGTTGGGCATGGGGGGGCACCCTCCTCACTCCCCCGCCCCCTCCGTCCTCAGTGACTTAGTGGCCCTGGACACGGACCGCGATTTCGGGGGGGGGGGCGCCAGGCGACGTTGGGCTCGAAGTGGCTCCTAGATGCCTTTGCTCTGTTGCGCTTCATTCGTCCACAGCCCTGAACCAGTCCCTTTCCTCCTTCTACTGAACCCTCGCCCACGCAGTCATTTTAAGGGCCGCCAGGGCCCACGGGATGTAGGCGCTCCCTCTGAGGAATGGCTCCACTTTCCAGAGCTGGGCAGAGGATGGCCGGACGACTCCTTTACGTGACGTGGCGCTGACTCCCCGGAGACCTGCAGAAGGCCAGTCGTCGAGGCCTCCGGGCCAGGTCCCAGGAGCAGGGCAGTTCTGGGCACGGAGGGGGCAGCTCCTCCGGAAGGTTGCCCGGTAAGCCTCTGGGAGCACCTGCCCCAGGTCAGTCACACGGGCAATGTGGGACCCCGAGGAACGCATGGGACCCCTTCTTGCTCGGGCAGCTTCCAGCTGGAAGCCGTTCCCTGGACTCTCCCATCTGGGCCTCTCTGCCCCTGGGGTGGGGTGGGGTGAGAGGAGAGGGGTGTCCTGGCCTGGTATGTTGGCCGCAGGAGGACCCCAGGCATGGTACAGAAGTCTCGAGCCCTACTCCCGGGATCGCAAGGGCCATGCGGAAGGCCAGCACTCGGCAGGCGGGCAGTTTGGGGGCAGGCAAGTCTCCTGTCAATGTGCCCAGCTGATGAGGGAGAGGCGGTCCCTCCCCTGCAACTTCGACAAGGGTCCCCGTGCTCGGGGAGTGTGCGGGTTGAAGCTCTGGCGCCCCCCCCCCCCCTTGGACACAGCCCTGTGACAGCCGGATCCTCCCACCCTCTCCTGGGCCACCCTGCCAGGCAAGAGGCTCCCTCTGAGCTGTGGAGTCTCGTGAGCAAGAATTCTACTCTCTGAGCGACTGGCATTGAAGCTGAGAGCCAGCAATTTGGCCGCTGCATAAATGAGTCTGCTCTGGAGCCCCACCCTTCCTGAGCTGAGACAAAAGTGGGTGAGCCGGAGGCTAAAAAACCATGAGCAGGCTCACACTGACTCAGCTTAGGGGGAACACTGCCGGCCAGTACAAGTATTTCATCTGATGAAAGGCGCTCAGAGGCCCTGGGAACCCAGCTAGTCTCCCAGGTGCCCCTGGATGTGGACCCGAGTCCTTTTCTTGTCCTTCCACAGGTTGCCCTCCCCCTCCCCCCGCCTGCCATTCCTCATGGGCTGAGTGGGAGCAGGAGGCCGGGTGTGGGCACTGCGTTAGAAAAACACACCACAGGCAGTTCTGGTCGCCATACCTGGAAAAGAACGTTGCCGGGCTGGGCAAGGTACAGAAGAGGGCAGCCGGGATGGTCAAGGGGTTGGTGCTCCTTGCGAGAAAAAGCTGGGGAGTCTGTAGAGGAGGAAAAGACTGCCAAGGGGGGGGGATGGGGACACACACACATGGTCAGCTATGCATGGAATGCAGAAAGGGGGCTAGAAGGGTATGTTTTCTCCCTCCCCCATGATGGTGGGACTCTAGGGCATCCAGCGAAGTTGTGGGGAAGAAAATTCCCGACAGGCAAAAGGAAATAGTTCTTTACTCAATGAGTAATTCAACGGAGTAATTCAAAGCTCCGGAGCAGGACACGGCAGACAGGAGGGCCTGGCGTGATGTGGTCCACGGGGTCGCTGAACAACAAAATTCATCTGTGGAATTTACTGTCCGTTGATGCATTTCTTACTCATTTAGAACACTCCTGTGCTGCCTTCCCACCCAATTTACGCACACATAAAACATTTAAAAATAAAAAATAATGGAAACACACAGGGAGGAGGCCTAAGAGGACTGGTGAGGGAAGGAGGCCAAATGCAACAGAAAAGCCTCTAGCCGCTGGCAGAAGGCAAGGATGGAAGGAGACAGGGCAAACCTCGGGTGGGGCCAGGTTTTGCTGCCACAACCGAAAAGCCCCTTTTTCAGGCTGCAGCCGTTTCATCTCAGGTGGGCCTCCGAAGAAGATAGGAGGGCATGGGGAGGTTCAGGGGGCAGTAGACAGACCTTCAGTTTGCTAAGCCATACAGAGGTCAACGCCGGGGACTTGGATGGGGGCCGGAAGCAAATTGGAAGCAGCTGCAGGTCGAACAACTGGCCTGATGCCCACTCCAGGCGGTGTCCTGGTTCAAAGCTTCAGAGCCTTGCTGGGTCAGAGCAGTGGTCCATCCAGTCCAGCATCACACTGTGACCGCACGCACTGGCCAGACCGTTCCTCTGGAGGGCTGACAACACAGCAGAGAGGCTGAGACCTTCCCCTGATGTTGCTTCCCAGCTCTGGGATTCCTCGTGCCTCTGAATATGGAGGTTCCTTTCAGTCACTATGGCTAGAAGCCCTTGATAGATTTATCCTCCAGGGATCGGTCTCATCCCCTTTTGAAGCTATCTATGCATGTGGCCATCACTAGAGTCAGTTTGGTGTAGTGGTTAAGTGTGCGGACTCTGATTTGGGAGAACCGGGTTTGATTCCCCACTCCTCCACTTGCACCTGCTGGTGTGACCTTGGGCAAGCCATAGTTCTGACAAGAGCTGTCCTTAAAAAAGAGCAGTTTCTGTCAAGAGCTCTCTCAGCCCCCACCCACCTCACAGGGTGTCTGTTGTGGGGAGGGGGAGGGAAAGGAGTTTGTGAGCCACTCTTGGACTCCCTTGGGTAGTGAAGGGAGGGGTATAAATCCAATCTCCTCTCCTTCTAGTGCAGTTTTGGTTCCTTTATCAAGACGCTCTCCTGTTCTGTTTTGCACATGCTGCGGAGTGCTAGAAGTGTGGGAGCCTTTCTGGTCCCGCCGGGCACCTGCGGATCTTACCCCTTTGCCGTTGGCACCTTCAGAAGGTTCCATTTGATTGCCAGTGCCTTGGACAGACTTCTCTTCCATTGCCAATTTGTCTAATCCCCCTTTAGGGCCATCGCTGCCTCCCGTGAGGGTCAGCTCCACAAATGAAGCCATTTGGTGTAGTGGTTAAGTGCGCGGACTCTAATCTGGGAGAACCGGGTTTGATTCCCCACTCCTCCTCTCGCACCTGCTGGATGACCTTGGGCAAGCCGTAGTTCTGATAAGAGCTGTTCTTGAAAAAGAGCAGTTTCTGTCAAGAGCTCTCTCAGCCCCACCCACCTCACAGGGTGTCTGTTGTGGGGAGTGGAAGGGAAAGGAGTTTGTAAGCCACTCTGAGACTCCCTTGGGTAGTGAAGGGCAGGGTATGAATCCAATCGTGGAGGTCCTCTTGGAGCTCTCCGCAGTCAGCCTTGGTCTTCACCACCCGGAATAATGTGGTGTCATCTGCAAACTTGGCCATTCCACCACTCACCCCCCCCCCCAGTCACGGATCATTTATGAATCAATCAAACAGTACCGGCCCCAGGACGGATCCTTGTGGGACCCCACTGCTGACTTTCCTCCATCGTGATAACTGTCCGTTTCTTCCTACTCTTCGCTTCCTGTCGTTTAACCGGTTTTTAACCCATAAGAACACCCATC